TTGTACTATAACATATAGAAAACCATACACAGTAATTTTTCAAGTAATTGAGTTATTCTAATGTTAATGAATATTTTATAAACATAACTAAAATCAGGAATTAGAGCTTTAAACTTTGCCCTCTTTGGGATTAAGTATTTTTTAAAATTCCAATTTCTATCAGCTTGTTAGTTACATGTTCTTTTACTAATTTGATTGGTTAATTTATAAATTACAAAATAAATTTTCAACTTATAAATTTTACATAAATTAATAGATTATCAATTTCCTCAAAAGTTAGGAATTTAAAATATTTTAACTTCTCTTATCTCTTTCCTTTTTTATGATTTCTTAGACGATGTATACTCTCTATATTTTAAACCCTAGAAAACTTCGATTGCTTAGTTATTAATCATTTAGTTCTGCTTTGTTCTTTAATGTGTCTTGCCAATAGAGTTATTTTTGTTTTTACTCAAGAAAAGCTTTAATGGTGTTTCTGACTTAGGCTAAATAATGTTCACATTTTTGTTTGCCTAAATATGAGCTTTATTTGACTTTACTTTTGAGGAATATATTTGGTAGAAAAATAATATACGACTGTCAGTTATTTTCTAGTAGCCCTTGGGTGTTATCCTTTTATTGTTTTCCAGCTTTAATTTTTCCTCATGAAAATCTGATTTATTATTGTCCTTTTGAAGGTATTTTTTAAAATTTTTAATTAAAACTTCTATTTTGAGGTAATCGAAGATTTATAGGTAATTGTAAGAAATAATACTGAGAGATCTTATATACCTTTACCTACTTTCTCCCACAGGTAACATCTTGCAAAACAATGTCACAACCAAGATATTGACATTGATAAGAAGAACATATGAGCATTTCCATCAGCATAAGGATATCTCCTGCTGCCATGTTATGGCCACACCCACTCTCTTCATCTTTACCCTTGTACCCAACCTCTGGCAACTAATAACCTGTTCTCTATTTCTATAATTTTGTTATGGTAAAAATGTTATTTCAATGAAATTATACTTTATAGAAACTTTGGACATTGGCTCTTTTATTCACTCAGAACAATTTTCTAGAGATTCATCCAGGTTATTGCATGTATTAATTATTCATTCCTTTTCTTTGCTGAACCGTATTTCACGCTATGAATTTATCACAGTTTGCTTAATCGTTCATCTATTGAAGGATGTCTGTGTTGGTTCCAGTCTGGATTTATTAGAAATGAAACTGCTATAAATAATTTTGTACATTTGTTGTATAAACATAAAATTTCATATCTCTGTGGGAAATGCCCAAGAATATAGTTCTGAATTTTATGGTAATTGCAAATTTAATTTTTTATGAAACTGTCAAAATATGTTCCCGGGTAGCAGTGCCATTTTACACGTTCACCAATGATGCAGAAATGACCTAATTTCTCCACAATTTACCACAAAGTTTAGCTTTTATGATAGGCCTGTAGTGATATCACATTGTAGTTTTTTTAAATTTTTAAAAAGATGTGGAATACCTTTGCATATGCTGGTTGGCTCTTTCTATGTCCTTGCCAGTAAATGTCTGTTCTTGTATTTTGCCCATTTTCAAATTGAATTTTATCTTCAGATTTTATTGTTGAGTTTTGAAACCTTTTCATAAAAACAAACTATAGGACTAAAAGTAGAAACTCTGTAGTTTGTCTTTTTATCATCTTAACAGATTTTAAGAGCAAAACTTTTAAATTTTGATGAAATTCAATTTATCACTGTTTCCTTTTATGACTCATGCTTTTGGTGTCAAGTCAAAGAATGCTTTGCCTCATCTTAGGTCCTGTGACTTTGATAGTGGTATCGTATCTTTTTTTCTCTTGCTGCTTTTAATTTGCTAAAGTTTTACTTTCGTGCACTGAGGTAAATTTAGCTTTGTAGGCAGTATGCTTGGTGGTTTTGTTTCTCTTAAGTTTATTGAGTGTTTGACTTGATATTTCCATCAATTTGGAATAACTTTCAGCTATAATCATCTTAAATATTTTTTCAGTCCCATTCTTTCTCTCATATGCCTCTGAGAATTGAATAACTTGTATATTAGACTTGCATGTCCCATATGTCTCTCATATTCTTATTTATATTTTCTTTATCTTTTCATGCTTCAACATGGCTTTTTTATTCTGATCTACTTTCCAGTTCCCTTATTTTCTCTTGCACTATATCTAAGTTGCTGTTATTACCAACAATTGAGCTACTGTATTTTCTTAAATTTAAATTTTCCAATTCCGTTATTTTCTCTCCACTGTGTCTAAGTTGCTGTTATTACCAACAATTGAGATACTGTATTTTCTTAAATTTAAATTTTCCATTAGAATGTTTAACATTTTTTTCATTAACTGTGCTTTTATAATGTATTTCAAGAACATTATGTTAGGATGTATGCATCTATTTTTAATAGAATTGAAAGAAAATTTGATAAATATTTAATAATGTATTTATACTATAAAATTACTGGTTTTAAAATCATTGCATAGTAAAATACTTAAGCATACAAAATAATAATCTTAATATTTTAAGTGAATAAATTATATAAACCCTACAATGCTTTCAAATATAACTTTACTTTGTCCTCATTCATATTTATAATTTTCTCATGGGAAATGTTAAATTAATTAAGTAGAAGGCCACATCAGCCTGAGACTATCACTGTATTTTTAGCTTTTGTGTAACAAAATGCTACCTAGATTTGTTTGATGGTTAATATTGAGTGTCAACTTGATTGGACTGAAGGATGCAAAGTATTGTTCCTCGGGGGTCTGTGACGGTGTTACCAAAGGAGATTAACATTGGAGTCAGTGGACTAGGAGAGGCAGATCCACCCTCAATCTGGGTGGGCACAACCTAATCAGCTGCCAGACAGGCTAGAATAAAACAGGCAGAAGGTGGAAGAGCAGACTTGTTGAGTCTTCCGGCCTTCATCTTTTTCCCGTGCTGGATGCTTCCTGACCTCGAACATCGGACTCCACGCTCTTCAGCATTTGGATTCTTGGACTTAACACCAGTGGTTTGCCAGGGGATCTCAGTCCTTTGGCTACAGGCTGAAAGCTGCACTGTTGGCTTCCCTAATACTGAGGTTTAGGGAATCAGACTGGCTTTCTTGCTCCTTAGCTTGCACACGGCCTACTGCGGGACTTCACCTTATGATGGTGTGTGAGTCAATACTCCTTAATAAACTCCCTTTCATATATGCATCTATCCTATTAGTTCTGTCTTTCTAGAGAACTCTAACACATTATGTCAACTAAAAGAAACCTAACTTAGGAATATAATTTTAGTAAAAAATAGCTGGGTTTCAGGCAATTACAAGACAGCCAACTGGTCACTTTAGGCCCAAATAAAGTAAACACCTAGCTGTAGCCAATCAGGTCATTTCTCTACTTGGCTTCTGTGTTCAGCCTTTGAAAGCCTGTCGCTCACGATGCTGGATGGAGTTCTTTAAACTTCTTCTGATTCTGAGTGTAGCCCAATTTGTTACTCATTCTTTGCTTAAATAAACCCTTTTAAATGTATTATGTCTAGAGTTTTTTTTTATTTTAACAACAGTGAACATGAAAAAAGGTTTATGTTACAAAGCCAGCCATTCAGATATACATATATTTTTCCCTGACAGTATTAAAAATAAATAGGTAATGATTACTTTAGCAAGCCTCACTGATTGTCCTTCATACACGAATACAAAAAAGGATGCTTCTCAGGAGTATAATTTCAGCACAGGTTTCAAAATGACTTGGCATCATCTGGGAAGGGATACTCATTCTTGTTCACTACAGATAATAATAGAGTACTTTTGACTCAGAAAGGGTATATTTTGACCTATACCCTTTCCACTTCTGGATTCATCCAAAGCAGATAGATTTTAAGGTGCTGCTCCTGGAATGCACGCCTTTCTGTAATCCCTCCCCCTTCAGCGTGGGTATGACCTGTGTCTTGGTTCTGACAAACAGAATATGGCAAATGTGTTGATGTGTCACTCACTTGATTACATTACATTATACGAGGCTGTTTTCCCTGCAGGTTTGCTCCTCTTATTTGCTTGATGAAATAACTGGACATATTGGGGAGGTCCAAATGGCAAGCAACTGCTGGTGGTATCTCAGAGATATGGGCAGCTTTGAGGAGTAAAGGAAAGTCTTGACTTTTTCAGGTCTGTATCAGAGAGAAACTGAATGCTCCTAACAGCCCTATGAACTTGGAAGAGATCCCCAAGCCTCGGGCGAGAAAACAGCCCTAGCAGACACCTTGATTAGAGTCTTGCGAGACCTCTGCAAAGACCCAGCTAAGCCATGCACAAATTTCTGACCTATAGAAACTGTGAGATAATAAATGCATTTTGTTTCAAGTTGTGGATTTTGTGTAATTGCTTATACAGCAGAAAAACAAATACACAACCCCTTTCAGCCTCCTACTTGCTCTATTTGCTATAGGCAACCAGACATCCAAATTGCCTTGCTTCTTTAACTAGATGCCACACGACATCCAGCCTCTTGCCCCATGTTCCAGATCCATCTTCACTCTCACCACCTTATTACTACATATACACTCTTCATGTTTTTAAAATTGAATCATCATTTAGTATCAGCATCACTCAATCATCGTTCCTGTGTCACTCCTGCAGATCCTCCAAAATAGACAGAGCTATCCCTCTGACACAATCAAATCCATCAGCCTCATTAAGAGGAAAACATTTGCTATTTCCTCCTCATTTAAAGTAGGGTTGGACATAAAGCATTCAATATCATTTTATTGGTATAATTTTTGCAGCATTCATGAATGAATTCATTTTTCTGAGTTACATTCGGATCCAAAGAAAATTCAATTGCTATGATTCTCCAAAAATTATTTGGTACTTAAAATAAAGCTTTATGAAATTAGTTTCACTGAGTACAAAATTACACTGTGGGCTTTGGGGGATTATACCTAAGAATAATAAAAATAAAGCCGCTTGCATTTATTCCATTCAAATGAGGAGGAAGGAAACAATTAACTTACCTGGCCAGGCTTAGAATTTTCACAGACAACAATATCATATTCCCTGGCAAGTTCGGGTGGATTGTCGTTGACATCCAGAACTCTAATACCCACTGTGACATGGCTCAGCAAATCAGGATTATCTGCAAAATACACAGGAATGTATTTAGTATTTCGATGCACACTTTAGAGGCTCGGTTTAAAACAAATCTCTTTAATACTGCAGCTTGTCACTGGTTCCATATGCTGCAGCAGGACTTTTGGCAAACGACAACTTTATGAAGGTGCTCTTTGCTAGAACTCATTAACTTACAGGAAAATGAAAAATGAACACCATGGCATGACATGAATGCCAAAATGATATTTTGTCATATCAAGGAAATTACATGTTATCAGGAACTCGAGTGGGAGAAAGTTGTCAGAATTCATTGTATGCTGTCAGAGTCTACAGGATGAACAATTGGTTTCATCATTAATCTAAGAAAAACACAGCAGCTGGTAAAAAAATAATCACATAATCTTTAAAAAAGTCTAATGTTCAAATCTAACTAAACTCAAAGAAAACAAAAAATAAATTTATTTACACAAAGGATCATTTTCTTATGGTAGGATATATGTAGTGTGTGATGTTGAGTCATACTTGAGGAAAATAAAGAGTAATTGAAGTCAAAATTTAGTATGAGATTCACACATGAAATTGACATGTAACTCTGGGAGATATCAAAATATATTCAATACTTGCAAATCCATCTTAAACCAAGTCTTTTCATTTTTTCAGTGGGTTTATTAATTCTGAGATGTAACAAAAACGTAAATGTCTGGTTTATTTTACAAGTCAAAGCTAGAGATTCAGAATACATAATGAACAAATTAAATCTCTCTGTCTGGCTTTCTCTCTGCTAATGTATCTGCCATTCTCTGAAACAATTCAAATTTAAATTATAACAACATACTAATACATTAATAATAAGACTAGTTAAAAAGATATAACAATATTAGAAAAAAGGGAATAAATACTTATAGAGAAGTTATTCACGATGGTAAGAAAAGATACGGTTTAAAAAGTATCTTAAGTAGCTCTAATGCAAATAGAAAATCTAAGTAGCACTGTATTAAAATAACTAGAGAAAATAAATTCTTCAGTAAACAGTTAATTTTTGTGAAGAATGAAAAAAATGTGTCCCTGATTTTTTACTTAAACAGGTAATTACAGTCTACACATTTTTCCCTAGAAGATATAAGAAAGAGGAAATATTTCAAAATTTTTATTTATTTATTTATTTATTTTGCTTGTGAAACTTTGGAACCAATAGTCGACACTGCCACTCAGGACACATATGAAGTGTCATCCGCCTAAACAGAATCATAGTAAACACACTCTACTGCGTTGTTCTTGATCATTCTTGATCAATTTTGTACCAGGAATATTTGTTTAGCTCAACAATAAAAGATGGAAGAGGTACAGAAAAGAAGGAAATTTTTATAAAGATAAAATAAAAGTTATTCACAAGTTAGCGAATTAAAGGAAGGATGAAAAAGCATATACATAATCGCTCTGACTGCTATCAGCGGTCACCTCTCACTGTCCTACCTCTGCCTTGGTGCAGCTTTCCCCTGGAACTGGAACGTGTTCTCAGGCATTCCACACTTGGGCACAGGAAACTGAATCCTTCTACTTCAAAATAGACTCCTTCCATTATGACTCAATATTACTTTACAGCCCTAATGTACAATCACTATTCTGTAACAATGATTAAAAGCATAACATTTGGGATCAGGCTAATATCAGTTTTGTCTGTATACCTACTACCATTCTACGTCCTGTAGGAAACATCTTCTCTTATTGAGCATGTGACTTATGATACTGCCTGCCCTGTCAGGGGCAACCGTAGCAGTTATGAAAACCAAAAGGTTAGAGTAAATTTAAAGTAATTTCTGGTGCAAATTCAATAACTGCTGTCTGTTACTAAAAGTAGGATGGTGTACAAAAATGTGGCTGTGATTTCAGATAATTAGGGGTGAAAACTCACTATCACTTTATAGCCACTCGCAGCCTTCTTGCAGCATTCTGGTCTTTTATGATATGAGATATTTCTATATTTGTGAACTGAAAAGTACCCATGGGTCTCTATATATTATTTCCTGTGTCCTTGGGCTAGTATTTTATCCTTTGAATGTCAATCACTTTACCTATAAAATATAAATCTGTTCATGGGATTTACAAACATTTTGCTAAGGCTAAAACTGGATAATTCTCTAAGGTCTTAAAACACTATTTCTGTTATTGTTATTATAATTTTTGATTTTATGCTTTGTTTCTAGAAAACAATTTTCATATTCTTTTGACAGCAGAGTAAATAAAATACATTGAAATCATACAAACTTAAATATAAATCATATTCTCAGCACTCTTCAGGAGCAGAACTTCAAAAAGTTATTTGCTATTTATTGATGTACCTTAATTATTTAATCTGTAAGCCTATAATAAGAGTTATTTGACTTGCCAAGTTGTGTTTTTGAGAAACAATTAACGGTAACTATGTCAACTTTATAATACTGAGACTGGGAAAAAGAAGGTACATTTTAATAATTTCTGAATACTAAAATAGAAACAAAGCCAAAATACATGCATGCAATTTCCAGCACAAACTATGCTATATAAAAATCATCTGTGCTTTATGCAACATTAATATAATAAGGACTCATGTCATCAGAGTGCTCCCTCTACAGATAGCGATACAGAGAAAGTGCTATTCCAGTGCAAGTGGAAGCGGTATGCTACAATACCTAGAAGATCTTTTATAACTTGAGAAACAATAATTTTTATCCAGTGATTACTTTTGGAAAGACCGATGTGTGCATAACACTATGATGGTCTCTAGAGAACACAGGACAACAAAATGTGTCATTCTTCCAGATTTCCCACTTATCGAAATTGAATGGAAAAAACAAATACTATTCTTTTCTTAAATATCATGACTTAATTGTTCAATTTACTTCTAGACCAAAGCCATTATTATTTAAATATGTGCCACTAAACAATCTAAATCATGTCTATTAGTATATGCCTACTAGAGAATTTGGTAGATTTCTAATTTGATTATTCATATTCTAAAATTAGTATTAAAAATATTTGTCAAATATATGAATAGGTTAGTGTAATATTGTAGATTATTTTCCTAAAAATATGCTTTTATTGCTTTCATTATGAAAATTCACTCAAAATGAAAAGCCTTATCTACTATTATAATAACAATTTACAGGGAATATGAACTTAAATAACCACATTTATTGGTATCTAAATTTCATAAATGCCCATGAGAATAAAGATGGTTTATAAATTGTATTTTTGGTCTGTCTGATTGAGAGTTCTATAAAAAGATTTCCTTATAGGAAAATGTATAACTAAAATTATGCTCATTCTTTTGAATACTTTCTGTGGACTGATGTTGGAACATTTTAACATGCTAGGTTAATGTTCTGCTTGTTAACAAATAAGTTTCCATTATTTTCTTTAATAAATATATAACAATAAGTTTTGCAAACAGGTGCTCAAATGAAAACAAATTTCTACTTAAGTGTACTTGTTTGATTTGAAATGAGAGTAGGTTTTCCATTGTAAAATCTTGCATATGAAAGTCATATTTAAGTTTTAGGTAGAAAAAGTGAGCTAAATCAATTAATACATATTATAAACTACTTTATAATATTATTACATCTACTTAAACAATAATTTATATGAAAAACTCTCACAATGCCTGGTACATGCTGGTGCCAATAATACGCCTCTTTTTCTCTTTTTTTTCTATATTATTTGAATATCAGTAAAAAAATCAAATATTGTATTCAAAATAATTTGCTATAATTTATATGAAAGATGTATATCATATATAATAAATTACTCCTCAAATATCTCTTTACGCTATCCACTTAAAAAGTTTTTAAATAAAGCATTCTGTAAATTTTATGTGATAGAAAATTTAACTAACTCTATCTGTTTAAGGTCACTTATTTCATAGGAAGAAGCATAACATATGTGTAGAAATATTTCAAAAATTACAAAGCATTTAGAAACATATCACACAAGATTTACCCCCCATATTTATTCAACTTTTGTACGTTTACAATAAGTGCTCTCATTTATTACACAGTTATCATACAAATTCTAAATTGAAGTGAATTATTTAAAATGAATCTTGACTCTTTTCGATACATTATTTTGTTCCAGTTGCCTATAAATCCTCCATCAATTCCTTATATATCATTAATATTATTATCTGAGAGTCACATGAGTTAGAAGCTTTAAAATTAAAGCTGTGCCTTTGCTGTTAGGAATGAACACTTTGTTCCATTAACCAGAACTACAAAGTCAAAGTAATTTACCTCTACTTGAAAGTAATTACATTGAGATAATGTAAGAAATTTTATTGATTAAAAAGTAAATGAAAAATTGTATTCTATTCTTGGGAAAATGTCACAATTGGCCCACTCAATTATATAACAATCTACCAAATATAACATTTATTTTCCACTTTTTGTAATAATTCAGTTTGAACATGTTTTATCTATCTTAGGCTACTTGTCTATAATGCCTGTGAACTTTTCTTTCATCTTTATAGAGTATACAGGATTTATCTTGTGATGAACTGTTATGCTGTCTTTTGCACTTATAATTACAATCATATTTTTAAAGCTGCTTAGAAACTTACTAACAAAATGGATTATAAGTTTATTCTTTCTTTTTCTGGGTGTGCAATCTAATTATAATAAATTTTCCTGGCCAGACGCGGGGGCTTACGCCTGTAATCCTAACACTTTGGGAGGCCGAGGTGGGCGGATGATGAGGTCAGGAGATCGGGACCATCCTGGCTAACACGGTGAAACCCCTTCTCTACTAAACACACAAAAAAATTAGCCGGGTGTGGTGGCAGGAGCCTGTAGTCCCAGCTACTCGGGAGGCTGAGGCAGGAGAATGGCGTGAACCGGGGAGGTGGAGCTGCAGTGAGCCATGACCGCACCACTGCACTCCAGCCTGGGCAACAGCGAGACTACGTCTCAAATAACAATAATAATAAAATAAAAATAAAAATAAAAATTTCCTTATAGATAGAATCAACATCAGAAAATGCTAATTAAAGCAAAA